CTGGCTGTGTCTAAGTTTTCACTGTTACAAATGCACTGGATGAGTGTGTGTGTGTGTGTGTGTGTGTGTGCATGTGCGAGTGTGTGTATATGTGTGTGTGTGGTGTGTGTATGCACGTGCGAGTGTGTGTGTCTGTGTGTGTATGTGTGTGGTGTGTGTATGCATGTGCGAGTGTGTGTATATGTGTGTGGTGTGTGTATGCATGTGCAAGTGTGTGTATGTGTGTGTATATGTGTGTGGTGTGTGTATGCATGTGCGAGTGTGTGTATATGTGTGTGGTGTGTGTATGCATGTGCGAGTGTGTGTATATGTGTGTGGTGTGTGTATGCATGTGCGAGTGTGTGTATATGTGTGTGGTGTGTGTATGCATGTGCGAGTGTGTGTATATGTGTGTGGTGTGTGTATGCATGTGCGAGTGTGTGTATATGTGTGTGGTGTGTGTATGCATGTGCGAGTGTGTGTATATGTGTGTGGTGTGTGTATGCATGTGCGAGTGTGTGTATATGTGTGTGGTGTGTGTATGCATGTGCGAGTGTGTGTATATGTGTGTGGTGTGTGTATGCATGTGCGAGTGTGTGTATATGTGTGTGGTGTGTGTATGCATGTGCGAGTGTGTGTATATGTGTGTGGTGTGTGTATGCATGTGCGAGTGTGTGTATATGTGTGTGGTGTGTGTATGCATGTGCGAGTGTGTGTATATGTGTGTGGTGTGTGTATGCATGTGCGAGTGTGTGTATATGTGTGTGGTGTGTGTATGCATGTGCGAGTGTGTGTATATGTGTGTGGTGTGTGTATGCATGTGCGAGTGTGTGTATATGTGTGTGGTGTGTGTATGCATGTGCGAGTGTGTGTATATGTGTGTGGTGTGTGTATGCATGTGCGAGTGTGTGTATATGTGTGTGGTGTGTGTATGCATGTGCGAGTGTGTGTATATGTGTGTGGTGTGTGTATGCATGTGCGAGTGTGTGTATATGTGTGTGGTGTGTGTATGCATGTGCGAGTGTGTGTATATGTGTGTGGTGTGTGTATGCATGTGCGAGTGTGTGTATATGTGTGTGGTGTGTGTATGCATGTGCGAGTGTGTGTATATGTGTGTGGTGTGTGTATGCATGTGCGAGTGTGTGTATATGTGTGTGGTGTGTGTATGCATGTGCGAGTGTGTGTATATGTGTGTGGTGTGTGTATGCATGTGCGAGTGTGTGTATATGTGTGTGGTGTGTGTATGCATGTGCGAGTGTGTGTATATGTGTGTGGTGTGTGTATGCATGTGCGAGTGTGTGTATATGTGTGTGGTGTGTGTATGCATGTGCGAGTGTGTGTATATGTGTGTGGTGTGTGTATGCATGTGCGAGTGTGTGTATATGTGTGTGGTGTGTGTATGCATGTGCGAGTGTGTGTATATGTGTGTGGTGTGTGTATGCATGTGCGAGTGTGTGTATATGTGTGTGGTGTGTGTATGTGTGTGGTGTGTGTGTGGTGTGTGTGTGGTGTGTGTGTGTGTGTGTATATATATGTGTATGTGTGGTGTGTGTGTGTGTAGCAGTGCTTGTCTTTTCAAGTGTCCTGTCCTGGGGGGAGCTGGGACCTGCAAGGCACGAGGACCCTTTTCTCCTTGGAACAAGTGGTTTCCTTTAAGGAAGGTACTTTTCCAGAAACATGTTATTTCAGGGCCTCCTGACTCCAGAACCCACCTTGTCCCAGAGAGAAACGCCCCCCTAATTGCAGGCAGGATGTGGAGAAAGAGCGGGGTGGGGCGAGCTCCTCCCGACAGCTGGGCTTTGCAGGTCTCCCCCTCTCAGACATCCTCTTGACAAGGCAGGACAGGATCCTCATCTCCCCTGTGCAGCCAGGGAAACTGAGGCCCAGCAAGTTCGTGGTGGGGTGGGGCGAGGACAGGGCTGGGTAGAGCACAGCAGGGGCGAGGGGTGCAGCTGGGAGGGAAGCCCTAGGAGGTGAGGGGGAAGCAGGACCTGTGCGTGGAGGGCAGTGGCATCTGCCGAGAGAAGCCCTGGGAGGCCTGGCAGGCCGGCTCAGGGCTCAGGCATCAGCCTGGAAGTCTGCCCTCACCAGGTGTTATCTGGGTGAGGCTGTGGGCTGCCCGTGAGATCTGTGTATGGCAGAGATCCCTTTCTTCCTCAAAGTCAGAGATGGAGGTGGGGGCAGGTGTGAGCAAGGCTTTTGTCCAGGGAAACCCAGAGCAAATCAAATCCCAGGTGCTCTGGCTGTTCCTCCTGAAGACATGCAGCGAGTCTGCTGAGGGTGCCTGACGCAGACCCCATGTGCGGACGGGAAGGGGGGCAGCTTGGCTTCCTTAGGTCCCTGGGGCGGCACTGCTGGGGGGCATTGGCCCAAAGCACCTCAGAGTGGGCGCGTCTGGGAGTGACAGGCTGCTGTGAGCACCTAGAAGGGGATATAGAAAGCACAGCACCTGCATAGTAGGAGGCTGAGAACTAGGAACCAGTAATGGCAGAGCGAACAGAGAGGAGCTGGATTTGGAACTGGGCGGCCTGGGCTCACTGTGGCTCCGCCCAATTCCAGGGTGACCCGGAGCGACCCGTTCCCTCCCTGCCACCAGATAAGAACTCTCCGGGCTTTGCTGGGTTCCGGTGCCAACCCACGTCCCTGTCCCTGCACTGCCACCTCCCTCTCCTGGGGATAGAGGAGCTTCTGGCTGGCCTGTCCCGGACACGGTGGGCTGCACCGGGCGGAATGGCAGGAGCATTTTGGGCCAACACACACCACAACATACACACACCACACAACACGCACGCTCACACACCAAGCACTCACACACCACACATGCGTACACACACACCATACACATCACACACTCACACCACACACCCCACACTCATTCTCACGCCCACACACTCCACACACATAAGAAAAGCAGGACTGTTGCAGCCGCTCACCCCTCTCTGGGTCATCATCCCAGCCTCTCCTTACCCCAGCCCCTCCCCGTACCCACCTCTGCGCAGATGGAGAAAACAGACCATCTGGCATGACACCTTCACCTCCTTTCTCCCCCCCGACACGCACACAAGCGGCCTTTGCCTGTATCCCAACATCCTTCCTGCAGCATTCCCCGACTCCACCCACATCCGGGCCTGCCCCGCCCGCCGGTTCCTGTGTGCTGCTCCCAGGCCTCCCCAGGGGCCTCTTCCAAGGCTCTCTTCCTTGCTGGTGCGCTCAGCATCTTCCTCTCCAATCCTTCTCCCTTGGGCCTTACATGGGCTCAACCACCCTCCCTAATTTAAAATAATAATAAACCCCGCCTCAGTGCAGTGCCTCTCTGGCCACAATACATCACTGTCCTTCCTTTCAAATGACCTGCAACTGCGACCTTTCCTTCCTCAGCTCCCACTGACTCCACAGGCCCTCACACCCACGTGCACACCCTCCCACATGCACACACCCCACGTGCACACGCCCCCACGTGCACATGCCCCCCACGTGCACACACACCCACGTGCACACGCCCTATCCAAGCACACCACGGTAGGGCTGCTCCTTCACTCAGATTGTTCTCACCAAGGTCACGTCAACTGTCGTGTTGCAAAATCCAAGGTCTCTTCTCTGCGCTCGCCTTCACTGACGCTTCCCACTAGTTGGCCCACCCTCTCTGAGAACCACTCTCTCCTTTGCAGGGTTGCCAGGTAAAATATCGGCCCCCAACATATGTTTCATATAAGTATGTCCCACATGTTACATGGGACATTATTTATACTGAAAATTATTTGCTGCCTGAGATTAAAATTAACTGGGGATGTCCTGTGTATTTTTATTTGCTAAATCGCACAACCCTATTCCCTGCTTCTCTGCCCCCCCAGCTCCCCCCACTTTCCTGTATCTCCAGTTGCTCCTCCTCTTGTCAGCTGCCCAGGTGCTGGCCCCAACTGCCCCTTCTCAAGCTCCCTGCTCTCCTGGGGCAGGGCTGGACGACTGCCCATCACCTGCAGAGTGAGGCTGTGACTCCCACCCCCACTGCTTTGTTTTCAGAATGACATGTGTGATTACAGCCTACAGGCCCCGCCCTCCACTGACCCAGGGAGGGTTGTGCGCACACAGTATAGGGACAGAGCCCTGGGTCTGGGGTCCTAATATTGGGTCCAGCTGAAGGAGGCCTGACCTGGGCAGAGCCGGCTCTGTCTGAGGGCAGGGAGCACCGGAGGCCGACTCTTCATCCCTTGCAGATCTTGCACCCCCGTCTCTGCCCACCTGGAGCTCTGGTTTCCAGGCATTTCTTTGTGCTGGACACGCTCACTCATCTCTGACTGGTCTGGGTGCCTCTGAGAACAGGCCCCTGCCGAGTTCCTGTGGAGATGCACCCACCATGGCCCCTTCAAGGAAGGACCTCTATCCAGTTTGCTCCCTCCTTCCCCTCACAGACATTGATCCCTGTAACATCCTGCATCCCAAACTTCATCTCAGTCACTTTCAGAGAACACGACCTACAGCGGTTCCCTTTACTCAGTCCCCAGGTCCTCCCTGCAGCCCGTTCCCTTCCACACGCATCTAGGAAGGCCCTGCTCGGGAGCTCTAGGTCCAAAGCGACCAAGACACGGTCCCCAGGAGCTCCCTCCCTGGGCTGTGCCCCTCCCCTCCCCAAGCTCATCCACTCCATCCCTCTGCATCACCCTGACTCTATTGTCCCCTCACCCCTCTGAGCCTCTGCAGCCCCAGCCTCTCTCTCCAAGTCCTTCCTGTGGCAGCCACAGGGCCAAGGTGGCCGGTCTGGGCACCCTCAGAGGCCAGAGCCCCCCTCAGGGCCAGTCCTGAATAGAGACTGCTAGCCAGGAGACTCAGAATTTTGTACCTTTCAAACTATCCTCTAAATATGGCACAGCATTTATTTCGTGGGTACAGAGAAAACAGATTTTCTAAGAAAAAGATCTGAGCCGTTCTTTGTGATGGAAACAAGAGCGCTGTTACATGCTCTCAATGTAACGTTTTAGCTTATCTGGCGTTGGCATTGTCTTTGAGTTCCTGATGTTCTGTCATTCCGGGCTCAAATCACTCACATTCTCTACGAATAGAAGTGACCACTAAGAAAAGAGTAATAAAGTCTCTCTCAAAATAGGTTTCCAAGTCTTCTTTCTGGCTTTCCTGTTAACAAACCTCTCATCCTTTCTGTGACTCTGGTTTTCTCTTCTGCTTCCTTTTGTGGTTTTCCAACCCCGACTCTTGGGAGACCCATAAAAGGATATACATCTTCAATTATAAAATAAATCACGCGTAGCCCTTTGGTTTCAGCATGGCAGGGCTGATTTCAGGCAACTGGCAGGGGCTGGCCTCAAGGCTGGGCTCTGTGGGATCTGCACATGCAAGTAGCAAAAAGGCTCAGCGAGGGGAGCAGGCAAGAAGTGGTTTGTATGAAGCGTCCACTTGAGGGCGCTGCTTCCTCTGGTGGCAACAGAACCAGTTTGTAGGCATCCTGGGATAAACCTGAGTTAACAGAATCTGCTTCCGATAGATTCCAGTTCCCCTGTCGATCAGAAGAGATGGCCCACCGTGCAATCCAACACTGTTTGGTCACTCACTCTTCAGACCTCTCTGAAGCCCCATCCTGTGGGCGGGGTCCAGTGGAGCTCTTGGGGGTCAGGGCTGACTCCACCGGGTCCCATCAGGGTGGATCTCCTGGGCCACAGGGCACAGCAACCTGGGATGGGAGGCAACAGGGAGATTGCTGGACACAGGCAGGGAAGGGCAGGAATGCCAGACGTGGAGGAGTGGGACATCAGGGAAGGCTTGTTGGGGGGTGAGTCTGACCCACCAGCAAAGCAAATCCTGGGGGCTGTGAGGCCTCACATGAAGGTCCAGAAGTCCCGGGCACCCGCCACTGCCTGGGCATGGCGAGCTGGCCCCGTGAAGAGAGAAGCCTCCTGGTGAAATGTGGCCACTGTGAAGCTGTGGCCAGGACCCCGCTGAGGATCCGGGGCCTTCGATTCACAGCTGAAGCAGCAGAGGATGCAGGTGATGGCCACGGTGACCACAAACAGCACGGCCACCATGCCAATCACCGCCGTCTCCATGGCCCTGGTGGCAGCTGGCGCACTGAGCAACCGGGGTGCAGCTGGAAGCCTTAGCTCCCCATCAGAACCGAACCGGGGCTCTTGGTGGCTCTTCCAGCCGGGCGGGTCCCTGCGGTCTTCTAAGAAGATACTGGTGTGGGGTCCTGGGTCGTGCCCCCTTGAGACCGTGGGGCGCTCTGCATGGCACTGCTCCGGCCTCTGTCACTGTTTCCTAAGCCTGTCCAGGCTTCTGAGAGCTGCGGTCAACTCCACTGGGCGTCTCTGAAGAAACGCTGACCTGAAAGATGTGCGCTCAAGTCTCCCGAACTCGGAGGAGCTGGGAGGAGGGGGCAGAAGGCTGCTCACGGGGAGCCTTGCCAACAGCCCTCTGGCGACGCCTGCGGATTTGAGGAGAGTTTGTACACTCAGACAAAAGACAAAAACTCCCCGTCCTTCGGATCCGGGATGAGCCTGGGCTCCTCCCCTGAGGAACCTTGGGTCAGTCCTTGAATCTGCTGCCTCCTGAGACCCTGGCCTGTGCTGGGGGCAGGGACACAGGTGGACAGAAGACAATGCCAACCCTGACACAGTGGGGGCGTCTGTGAGTCCATAGGGGCCTGGGGCAGGGCGGTGGGGGAGGCCTGCTTCATGTGGCCTCCTTTCCTGCTTGGGGTTGGAGAGTGTGTTTAGATAAGGCCAGGACGTGTGGCCTTTGTCCTACAAAGGGAAGCCCTCTGCTGTGCCGGCCCCCAGCCCTCTGTGCCGCCCGCTCACGCCCCTGCTCACCCTCAGATGCTGTGAACACTTACCCTGGGCTTGTCTGGAACAACAGCTCTGACTGTATGTGGTTCCATGGTCTCCTGACCTGGCGGCCACCCCGGGAGCCAGGTCACGGCATGCCCAACCCTGGTGCTGCCGCCTTGGTCCAGCCTGGGCCCAGGCTCCAAGATGTCTGAGTGGCTGAGATCACTTCCCGAATGCCTTCCTCCCGTGGTGAGTGGGGGCCCAGGGCCTGCGCAGCTGCCTGTCGCCCTTGGTGACTGCACTCACCCCACCACCCAAGCACACCCAGGCCATTCCAGCCCTGCCCCCAGGTTCTCCACTTCACTGGGTGAGGGCGAGCCAGGCCCAGGCCACTGAGTGGTCTGCCAGACGGGGCTCCATCCTGACACTCACTGGGTCACAGCCCTGTCACAGCCAGAACCTCCTGAGGCCACCACCACGTCTAAAAAGAAGACTGGGTTATTGGCCCCACCCTACCCAAACTCTGAGCGGTGGAGTAGTGAGAAACAATAATTCCGGGTAGAGGACACAGCCAGGCACTCGCTCACATAATTGGTCCAGCAACTCTGTGAAGTGGTTTCGTCTCCCTTTTACAGACTCAGGTGCTGGTAAGCAGCGGTTACAGCACACCTGTGGCCTGTGGCTAATTTGTAATGATCACAAGAGCACCAAATGGCCGAAGAGGGGCTTCCTGGCCTTCCCTCCTAGTTCAATGCTTTCTGTTAGGGGCAGAGTGGAATAGGGGGGACTAGCTACAATGATAAGAAATACGAATCATGCTCTGTTTACCATAATAGTTCTGTTCCGATTAGAGAAAGCACATTCCAACCTGGCTGAGAGCTGTTTGCCCTGGGACATGGGAGCTGGCATGGGAAGGCAGGCCATCCTCCTTTCCCGAGAACTTCGATCACTATGGAAAGATTTACAGCCTCCTGGCTGAACCAACCTAGTCCCGGAGACACCGCTCTTTGCAGCCCCCAGCCCTCTTGCCTGTAACCATGAGACCTTGCCTGCTTCCCCAGGCCTGTCATTCTTACTTTCCCACGTAATCTTTGCCCTTCTACCCAATACAAGCAGCTGGCTTATGGGGGGAGGTAGCAGATTTTTGTGGATGACCTGCTGCTCTCCCATATTGGAATAAACACTCATATATGATTCAACCCTGTCTCTGCTCGATTGGTTCAAGTAGTGACAGGCAGCCCAGACCCACTGATTGTCCGGTTACATTTCCACAGAGCAGTCCCCTCATTCTACAGTTTTACTGATCAGAGTATGGAGCCTCAGAGAGGGCTAAGGGCTAGCCCGCGGTCACACAGCCTGGGTCCTTTGCGATTTCTCCAAGGCCCCGGTAAACTTTCTTTAGTAGCAGCTAAAGTACTGCCTACACATAGAATGGGAGAGTGACTACTGGGAGTGGGATGCCCTGTCAAACCCCCACTCTTCCCTTTTCTAAGATGATTGAACAAACCTGGGCTCGGGGCGCCTCCTCAGAGAGGGCAGAGGAGGCGCATGGAGCAAGCCGGGGCCATGCCTGGAAGCCGGACACCTGGAATTGCTTGTATTAACTGGGACAACCAGAGAGAAGGAAATGTGAGGAGCCAATCTGGTGCTGGTGGTTTCAGGTCGAATTACCAAGATCAACTAGTCAATTCAGGAGATAGAGGGTATCAGGCAGACCCGGTTTCAAGCTGGGTTATTTGTTCCTTTGACTTCTCATTTGCCTGTTCTTTGTGGGTGAATGGAGTCGGAGGCCAGCTGTGGTAGGTGTGCATTGTTCAGCATTTTAAAAACTAGCCCAGCTGGCGTGGATCAGTGATTGAGCATCAACATAGGAACCAGGAGGTCATGGTTCAATTCCCATTCAGAGCATATGCCTGGGTTGCAGGCTTGATCCCCAGTAGGGGGCATGCAGGAGGCAGCTGATCAAGGATTCTCTCTCATCGTTGATGTTTCTCTCTCTCTCTCCCCCTCCCTTCCTCTCTGAAATTAATAAAAATTAAAATAAAGTAGAATAAAGTACAAGGGTTCAGGCCTCTTACCTTCAGCCTTGTGTTGATTTCCTTTTCTGTTTCTGAGATTGAGGACCCTCCTTGGATTCACCTGTAAAACAGGCCTTCTGGTCCATCCTCATAATAGGCACTCAGTATTTGTGGCATAATGAGGGACCCCAGTTATACAGTGAGGACTGCACAGTCTGCTTCGAGGGCTCTTAGCAGTCTTCATGGACCTCACACGGGCAATCTGCAAATGGAATGACCAATGTGGCATCTCAAGCCCAGGGCAAAACAACAACAACAAAAACCATCGATAAGGTGACCAAGTTCAGACACCTCCTGCAGGAGTGGGGCTTCTGCAGGTCCCGGAGCTTATCCCCCTGGAGATGGGCTGCAGGAGGTGGAGCCCAGGAGGCCAGCCAGGGCAGCCTCAACCTCCTCCCAGCTCAGTACCCTTGCCCCCAACCATCCTCAACAGTCTCTTTCCGTTTATGAGCATTATCAGGAGAGTTGAGAAGAGCAAGACAGCCATCAACCTTTGCCGACAATTCAGAGATGTTTGTCCTAAGGGTACTTCCCACCCCTTCTTTTAGAGTTGTGTCTTTTGTAATCCTGTGATATACAGCCCCTGCCCCTGAGCCGCAGATGCCAAAAGATGTCTATCACTTAGATAGGTATGTGTCCTCCAGCATCATCTTCATCAATTGACCAGAAAAAAAGACCACCTTCCAAACATCCCACTTACATTAACAAGGGAAAAGGTGATGCAGGCATCCTGCCATAAAGAACTGCTGTGGGCTCTACAGAGAGAGGAGGGGGAGATGGCCAGAGGGCTGCAGCCTCCACCTGTTAAATGTTTCCTGCCTGTCAGACCCCACCCTCACCCCCAACACTAGGGAGATGGAGCAGGAGCCCCCTGGGAGGCCCCAGGAGCCCAAAGACCTAATCCCCCAGGGCCCTGTGCTCTACTTGGTGTCCCTCAGGCCCCACTCCCAATCGTATTTACTTTTCCAGAGTCTCCAGGGGAGAATCCTTCCTGAGGATCTGTTGTGTGGGCCGGTTCTGTGCTGGGGGGCAGGGAGCCCTCAGAGATTTCTCAGCTTTATGAGGGCAGGGCCCTTGAATCCTGCCATAAATCTCTGGGGAGAGAGATAAAGTGTGGTCAGTGCTCCAAAAGAAATAATAACAACAACAACAACAATAATAATAAAGTTGGAAACCCATGGGAAGGCTTCTTCTTGGACAAAGACACAGAGAGGGTAAAGTGCAGGGTGTTTTGGGGGTTGAGACTGAAGCAGTGTGAATGGAACAAAAGAGCATGGGGATAGGCGAGAACCAGACCAGGGGCCTTGAATGGCCAACCAAGAGGCAGAGACTTCATCCCAAGGGCAGTGAGGAGTTTCAGCCGTTCCCTCTCATTCCCTCCGGCTGTCTCATGGAGATGCTTCAGAAAGCGGCTGGGCTGGACGGCCCCAGGCTGGGGGATGAGCCAGGGTGGGCACTGGGGCGGGGCGGGGAGGCGGATTGGAAGGACACTGCAGAGATAAAATCAACAACACAGGGAACACGGGGTCCACTTTCCCATCCCAGAAGTCTAGTGTGACTGTCCGTGTGAATTTGCCTCCCTCGCCCCCGTGCCCCCAACCCAAGCACTCACAGAGAATCCACAGGGAAACAGAAAAGAAACAGGACATTCTGCTCTGTTCTGTCCCTGTGAGTCAGCAGGCCCCCGACTTTCTGGCCTGCTCTCAGGCCCCTCCCCAGGCCCCCAGGCCTCTCCTCCCTCCACTTCCCACTCAGCTCACAGGCCCAGGCTGCAGGCCTGGAACAGGATTTCCTCCACCCTGTGTGGAATTCTGCCAGCTATTCCTGGGATGTTTGGGAACTCGCCTCCCAGCCGGCCTCCCTCCCGGCTTTGGCAAGGAGTCTCTGTTATCTGTCCCACTTTAGGGAAGAGGAAACTGAGACCCCAGGAGGCAAGCACTCTCCAAGACCACCCAGCACCACATCTCCAGTTTAAAGAGCACCCCCCATCCCCCAACCCCATGGCCACACACAGGCACCGGGAGGGCAGGCTGCTGGCAACTCAAGGTCTGGATAAGAAACCCTGACCCAGTTACCAAGGAAACACTGAATTCAATGCAGATCCCAGAGCTCAGTCTGCCCTGAAAATGGGCTGGAAAGAGCACAGTAGGTAGAAGCCTGGCCCAGCCTGGGTGGCTCGGCCCTCCTCTTTCTGAGGGCCCAGACTATTCCACAGAGCCCCACTGGCACACCGAGAGCCCCCTCTGTGTTTTTTTTGGGGGGGAGGTTCTTGTTAATCCTCACCCGAGGGTATTTTTCCTTGATTTTTAGAGAGAGTGGAAGGGAGGGGAGACACACAGAGAGAGAAACATTGATGTGAGAGAGACACATTGATTGGTTGCCTCCTGCACACGCCCTGACCAAGGCCAGGGATCAAGCTTGCAACTGAGGTACGTGCCCATGACGGGAATCGAACCTTCACCCTTCAGTCAGTCTGAAGCTCTACCCACTAAGCAAACCAGCAAGGGTAAAAGCCCCCTCTGGACAGGGCTGCACCCAAGCCTTAAATCCTCCCTTAGAACTTGGGCCCCATGCCTTTCTCACCTACTGTCTACTGGGCACTGCAGAGCCCACCCAGTTTCCCCCACTGCACCACCAGCCCTCAAACCCCAGCCAGAAGCCACCACGCCAGGCACTCACTTCCCATCAGAGAGGGAGGTCCCAGGGCAATGCAGACTCAGGCCTGGCTGCTCCCTCCCTCCTTCCCTCCCACTTGAGTTGTAATCAAGAGCCTCTTCACAAAGCTTCTTGGTGGTTTTTATTTTTATTTTTGTATTCAGACACCCGTGAATTAACTGTGCAGCCTCATCCTGCCTTGTCCAAATGAAAGGGCATTGCCAGGGCCCCTCCCAGCTACCCCCACCCCCAAGCCAGAGGGGAGGATGTCAGAGGGGAGCACTTCAGAGAGAGCACAGCACATCTTCCACGCATCAGCGTGCACGGGGGCACTGCAGGTGCCCACTGGAAGTTACAGTCGCAAGGTGGCGTCCATCCCCCACAGATCACCCCTGCTCTCACCCTCCTCGCCCTGCAGCATGAGCAGGGCCACCCCAGGTGTTCCTCCATCCTGTCCTCTGCTCCACAGCTCACTGGGGCACCGTATGCAAATGAAGCCCAAGCAGGACCGCGGCGCAGTCCCGTGTTCACACAGAGAGGTGCCCTTCTGCACCGGAACATGGGGTCCACTCATCCTGGAGGCGGCAGGGCAGGCAGTGGCTGCCGTCCTCAGGCATCAGCGGCGGCCTCGGTGGGTGTGGAGGTGGGTCTGGTGGGGGCGGTGGTGGTGGTGCAGATGCTGGTGGTGCAGTCCCGCATGGTGCATGTGAGGCCCATGGCCCGGATAGTGGGGATGGTGGGGATGGTGAAAGTGTCCCAGGCGGCCCCGGGCTGGGAAGAACCAAGGCCGGGTCTGCCGAACTCGGTGTCTCCTTACAGCTGGACGGTTCATCTCCACATCATGGTCCTGCTGTCCACCGTGCAGGCAGGTGGCCAGCACCAGCAGCAGCAGCAGAACGGCCAGAGCAGCGCCTGCGATCAAGCCCACGAGAGTCGTGGTCCCCAGGAGCCCGAGCATCTGGGAGCTGGAGAGTCCCCTCTGCTTAGTGGCTCCTGCTGCTTCCTCCCCTCCGGCGGCCTCTGCTCAGCCCTCACAGTCACTGGACTTTGTTGTCTCAGCTCCTGCAGGCTGGATAGCAGCCAGGGAATGTGGACACAGCCTCTTTGGGCTGGAGCTACAGGCCAAGGGCGAAGCCAGGCAACTGTTAACTCTGAGGGGAGGCTGGGTGAGGACAGAGGTGGAGGGCTGTGGAGGGAAGAGCCCTGAGCCTGCAGATAAGAAGCCTAGGCCCCCATCCCTGCTGCCTGGCCAAGTGCCCGGGCCTGCCCTTTCCCCTCCCTGGGCCTCAGCTCCTCCCTCTTTTAGAGACAATAAAGTACAGTGACTAAGAACATGGGTTCTGGAACCACACGACTCACTAGCTCTGTGACTGCACAAGTCACCTCCTCTCTGTCCCTCCGTTTCTTCATCTGTAAAATGGCTAATACGAGTATCTTTCCTCTTAGGATTTTCTGAGGACTCAGGAGTTAAGATATATAAAGCACTTAAACCAGTTCCTAACACGTGTGCCATCAATATTATTGTGAAACCAGACAACAAATGCGTCAGGGTTTCCTGCCACTACTTGAGCCAATTAAGCAGAGACAGGGTTGAATCATACAAGAGTGTTTATTCCAATAATGCCGGCAGTATGGGAGGGCAGCAGGTCATCCACAAAAATCTGCTCGAGCACCTCCTACTAGCTGGCTTAAACAGGGACCAGGAAGAAAGGCTGCATGCAAGGGGAACAGAGGGGTGGCTGCAGGGTCTGTGGTCCTGTGTCTCTTTCCAGGATCTTGAAGTTTCAATGGTGTTAAAACCCAGCTTGGCCAGTTCCTGGAACCTGAGAATGGTCAGCATTCCTGCGGCAAACTCCCGGAGGGGGTCAGGGTCTAGGCACAGCAACCCAATCAAAGCGAGTCCTGTCCTCTGTCTGTTCTCAAAATGCATTTTCTTTTCTGAGCAATGAACTCATCCAGGTGTCTCTTATCTTTTTACAGCTCTGTTTTTCTTCTAGCACAGTGGTTCTCAACCTTGGCTGCACATTAGAATCACCCAGAGGCCCAGAAATCAGGATTTTAAAAAGATTCCCAGGTGATTCTAATGCGCAGCCAAGGTTGAGAACCACTGTACATCCTCCAGTTTTCCAGGGTCTGTAAGAAAACTTATCTATAGTTAGTAAGGTCAATAATCATTAAACAACTGTGGCCCTATTCTTATTGTGTGCCCTTCCCTCTATGACTCCCCCGCCCCCGCCATCAATATTATCATCTTATATCTATGAGATTAGTTTTATATGGAAAGTGTCTTGCTGCTGAATTGTATTATTCCTGGACTATTATAATTTCCCCTCATGGATTTTTGGGTCTGAACCCTTTCAGGAAAAAGGGGCGTTGGTCTCTTCTATAACTGCTTCTTGCTGATGGGGGGGCGGAGTCCTGAAGTCCTCCCTGTCTGACAAAAGAAAGAGGGAGCCAAAAAGGGGAAAGTAGTTTTAACTGAAGCCAACAGTAAACGTCTATGTTTCATTGACTCAATAAGTCTAAACCATTTTGAGTCTTACTTTTAGGACACAGTGATGCAAATGGCTTCTACAGTGAGACCTATACTGTGTGAGCAAGGAATCAGGTAAATTTAGGCATACATTCTATGAAAACAGAAGCAAACAAAACACAAAGGTTAGTGCATACAGTAAATCATAAATCAGCAAGATTTTCAGATATAAGGCTTCCACTGAAATGAAATCATACAGTGACAATCTGATAGATTGTCTGTAGTTAGAACATTTCTGGTGATGTCATCAGGGCTGAGGCATACACAGACACAGCCTTAAAAATAAAATTTTGAAGACAGTTAATTGTACTGGAACCTAATACCCACAATTGGACATCATGGTTTCAAATGAAGCACATTTTTTCTCCCTAAGATTACCCTTTTCTTCAGAGATTACATCAAGTCTAGTTTTTTGTTTGGCCTGACTATTTGCATAAACACAACAAGAGTAGCAATTGATCAAATTGATCACACAGGGTTTCTCGAATTTGCTTTGCTGGAATTTCATTCATTTATAAGGAATCTTAGATTGAGCTCTAGTGAGCTGTAGGCCCCTCAGGGCAGAGAAGCCAAAGCCACAGTTGCCTGGAATAACTATATGTTTTGGTCGTGTCCTCAAGTCCTTGAGGTCCCAAAGGTGTCTTGAGGTTCCTCCTTGCCATCTTTCAGGAAAGCACTTACTTAGAAAGACTGCCATGAACCATGTGACCAAGGAACGTACCAGGCTCTTTCTCCAAGGGCTTATCCCTTCAAAGTCAATCTTCATTCCTCAAAACTTTCTGGTGACGTCCAGAGTCCTGGAATGTCTCTCTCATACATGACATTCCAGTCAAAGTCTTGGTTAATAAAACCACACTTGGAAACTGGCTTTATGACCTGTTATGAAGGAATTCTTATTGGATTTATCTAAATAAATATGTTGCTATGAGAACAATAATACTCACTCATTAAGAGTTTCCAAATTCCAGATGGATCAGGTAAGAAGAAAAATGTAAATGCCTCAATATTGGTTATGAAAGTATAATTTACCAAATTGCTTTAGAAAAGAAATAAGTTTCCTTATGTCTGAAAAACAAAAAGATTAAAAATCAGCAATACTTTCAACAACAAAAATTATAAAAACTATAATTATTTTCAGTTCATCCAGTCCCATATTAAATTTTTGTTTGTACTGATTATTCTTGCCAGTACTTCTATAAATCCAGATACTCTATAGAGTTCTATTAATTTTCATCCAGTTAGAAGGGGATGATCTGAAAAATCTATTCTCAGAGTTATGCAATTTAAAATGTCAGAGTCCTTTCCATGGATCTCTCAAAAGATGTAACATTTTTGCAAATGCATTATAACAAAACAGTGACTGTCTCTAAATGACAAGAAGAAATTTAAAATGACACAAATTTTGTGTGTGTGTGTGTGTGTGCAGGCAGACTTGTTTTAAATGATAAAGCTAGCCTTGTAAAAGGGGCTTAGAAACTCTTTTTACTACGCTCTGATTGTACAGCCTGAGAATAATCTGTTTGCTGAAAGCTCAGTACAATTTGCCTTAGATACCATCTTAAAATAGACTTTTCTTAGGGTAGATGATTGACTATTTTTTTGTACCTTCTATGGGTATCAGTCTATAAATGTCTTTTATATGTTCTTGAGTCAACTTTGTAATTATATTTTACTACAAAAATATAACATTCTTTGTTTACTTTAAAAAATAAAATAAAGTTAAATTAAATTAAGAAAATAAAATGACACATTTATGGATTTTATTGTAATGTAATTGACATGGAACTCTATCCTTTCTGCAAAACACAATATTCCAGAGTAACAATTAGAGTTACAAATGAAAGTATATCAGAATTTATAGACTCCTGGAGATTTTTATGTAATCTCCAGAACATTCATTTTAACAATATGTGCATATAAATAGAATATAGTTGTTATTTCTTTATTTGACAAAGCTACCCATGTACCTTAGGCATAAAATTTTCCTTCATAAGGAGAGAAAACAAATCTGTGAGGCATTCCACAACCTACTGAAATGACCTAAAGCCAATTCTAGGTCAAGAAAAAGTTTTTTAAAATTCAAACCCTGGGAAGGTTGTCAAACATATTTGATCAAAAAATTATATTATTATTATTATAAAACAGTATTAAATTATTTATTCATTCAAAGTGACAACAGAAGGGTATTAAACACAAACATAGGCTAGCAAAACTTCAATTCCCATGATTAAGAAGATGGCTTTTTAAAAAGTAAGCAAGTACCTGATTAATATAACATAGTATATAATCATTTCAATAATTTATAGAACTTTTGCTTTCTAAGCAAATACAGAAAAAAACTTTTTCCCTTTTAACAGACTGGAAAGGGACCAAAAGAGTTTCGTATTAGTTTACTTTAGATTCATTTATCTAATTAAATGTATTATTCAATTTACCTATATGTTTCTTTTTTCTTCTTTCCTCCATACAATTTCTTTTCAACTTGCACAGGTTCTCTGCAATTTTCCTAGTCCCTTTCAGTGTTCTTTTCCTTAGCTCATTCAGAAATAATCAACTTTAGAACCATCTAGTTTCAATTCTATATTATCAAAATCATATAATTTCTTTCCAATTTAATTAGAATTCTTAATTCTTAGAAACCTTGACCCTTTGGTGACAAGTAAGTAATTAACATTCCTCTGATTAGCAATACATCCACATTTTATTTTATTTTATTTTATTTTTTTTTTTTCCTCAAACTTTTTATTTATTTCTTTTTTTTCTTTTTTTTTTTTTTTTTCCTTTCCCCCCCCCCCCCCCTTCCCAAACCCCCCCCCCCCCCC